AATAAGAGACAGGTTCTGGATATATCTGAGGCCTGTGATATATTGATGACAAACAGTATAATAGGGAACCTTTAAAAAATGTGCACCAACTTGCATACTCTATTTCCAAAGAGTGTTGCAGATGGTACTGAGACACATGAAGACCTTCCAACCCTCAGAGCTGATTCATCACAGTTTCACGTTCTCCGGGAATTACATCCACAACTTCTTTGGTATTTAATGTTCCTCGGCCAGTCTCAGCAGGAGGTCTGAGGTCTCGTCTGGACCCAAAAACACATTCAGATGGTTTCTGTGTGGGCAGATTTCCTCAGAAAACAGAGAAACAGGAAGCAGATCTCAACACTAAGGCTGCACGAGTGGAAGAAATCCCTCACTGTGATTATTTTTGACTGAGAATGAAACACATCTGCAACTGAAACATTGTCATTATCATTGGACAATATATTTAAAATGTTCATGGTGTGATATTTTTAAGAGGATCTGTATAAAAAGAAGGCTTTGTATCAAGTCTGTAGAATATGTTTTGTATGCCAGGGCTACTGAGCAGCACCACACGACTACATTCAGAATAATAGCACATATTTAGCGATTGTCAAATATTTGAATTATAACTAGTCCATATAGAGTGGTGAGGCGATGAGGGCGACTTAGAAAAAATTGGGTTCATTGGGTTTTGAAATATTGCAGAAAATAATCTCTGTGGCAAGCAAACGTTTACGATACTTACACGTTTTGTTCAGCAGGATAATCTCCACATATTAAAACCACTGTATGGTTTTTGAAGCGTAAAATGCAATCTCCTTTAGTAAAAAGCTAATGTTGGGCTATAAAGGAACTACAACACGGTCACATGACTTCACGTCACCACCGCTAAGCTAAAGGCGGCTAATGTTGGGTGTGATGACATTAAGTCGTCTCATTTAGACACTTGTTAGCAACCTCCGTTTTTTAATTCACCAGTGGGGTATTTACTGATGTATTTGATGTCGTAGAATAAAATGTCTTCAGCTTGTGTTAACCACAGACATTATTTCAGGAAAAAAAAACTGCCAGACCAGTTAGCCGGAAGTGCTAAAATGCTAACTCACTACTTTGGGGGATTTTAAATTACATTTCAATACATTTTGCATCTCTTCTCAACATATCGGTCCGGCAGTGGCTCAGTCAGTAGGGGCTTGGACTGGGAGCCATAGGGCCACCGGTTCAAGTCCTAAAATATATATAGAGTGTGGACTGCTACTTGGAGAGGTCCCAGTTCACCTCCTGCCCTGCCGTGGTGCCCTTGAGCAAGGCACCGGACACCCCCCTTCCCCCCTCTCTCCCATTGCTCCCCGGGCGCTGTACAATAGCTGCCCACTGCTCCTAGTGCGAGACTCCTGGCACTAGGAAGGGTTAAAAGCAGAGAACACATTTCACTGTGTGTGCTGCAGAGTTCCCGTTAGCCGGTAATTACCGGACTACGACCGGTAAAATATGCTGAAGACCGGCAAATCTAAATCTCTCCGGTCAAAGTGTCCGTTCAAAATAATTTCCGTTTAGCGCAATACCACATCAGTTGCGTAACTTGCGCCACTTATGTGACAGACAATAATAGTCAATTCTAGCGTCTAACACTTAATATGGAGAAAGAGATGTCCTGTATGGGTTGATTGTGCGTTGATCTGTTGCTAATGCCTCGGGGTTCCGGTGGGCATGTAAACAAATGCATAATGCTGCGCTATACTTTGTGGCCTCACCCGGTTGCATAGCGACACTTATTGTTTAGGTGTCTTTTAATAAGCAGGTAGTCATATCATTAGCTAGAACTGATCGATATGGACATAAACGCGAGTGAAGTTTAATCTGACGGGAGAGAGAGATCAGCTGCTGCTGACGAGTCGACACGCAGCTCTGCATGATCACATGCAGCGGTGAGCGGAACAAAACACACACTTCAGGTTAGAATATCACACGTAGCTATTTTAATCACCTCTCAAACTACCGTAACTAGTTATAGATATGTTTAGTTTTACTGTCGGGTCACTCATTACTGATCCGCGAGCTGCATGATACTGACGGGCTGTCAGGAGAGGGAGAGAGCGCTCCGTTTATTATTCCTGTGTTATTGTAAGTTACTGTTCTTTGAATAATGTAGTTAATCTACTATAATTAGTTTGTTTAATATCGAATCATATCAATTTGTTTTAAAGCAAAAATAAATAACAAAGAAGACCTTTGACCGGCACTTTTCGGGAACTCAGGTGTGCTGTGTGCTGTGTGCTCTGCATGTGAGACCATTACAGAGGGGTTCATCCCTCCCATTATATTCTATTCAGGTTCACCAGTGAGGTACTTACGGACATATTTTATGTCCCAACCACAGACCTTATTTTCAGGACTCAAACCAAAAACATGTAAAACAAACTGACTTTGAGACAAGGGAACAGGAAGTGGTTACATTCTGACCAATTTCCGTGTTTTAGGAATCTTTCCCGCCCCACTCTTTTGTAATTTTTACAACATTTCAATCAATTTTCTCAGCTCTACTCACCACATTCAGTTTCTGAGGAGCTGGAGAGCTCAGCTTCCAGCGCCGTCTCCTCCTCTTCCTCCTCATCTTCCTCTTCTTCCTCCTCCTCCTCTTCTTTGTCCCCCTTTTCCTCCTCCTCCAGATGTATCTCAGTCTTCTCCTGCTCCTCCTGCACCTCGTCCCTGTCTGATTGGGGGACATTAGGCCCCGCCCCCAGCTCCTCCCCCTTGCTCAGAGAGTAATTATGCTCTTCGCTGCAATGCTCCAACGCCAAACCAGCGGCCGCCGCCTCCTCTTCCTCCTGCGCCACCTGATACACCTCCTTAGAAACTCCTCCATCCTTCCCAGCGACACTTAAATCCCTCTCGGTTGTGGAAACAGGAAGAAGTTCCTCCCTCCCTGCCTGTACGGCTTCCTCCTCCTCCTCTTCCTCCTCCTCTTCCTCCTCTTCCCAGCGGTTCATCAGCACCGCCTCCTCGGAGCAGGCCAGCAGCTCCCCCCCCACCCCGAGGCCCAGCCGGGTGTATCGGGCCATCTCGTCCAGCGCGGAGACGTCCCAGCGCTCGGAGAGCAGGAGATCTTCTCCGAATCCCCCGTCGTCCACCAGGTCGCTGAGCAGCTCAAAGGGACGTTTTCTAGGAGACGCCGGGGAGCCCAGCATGAGGAGAATGCTCTGGAGGAGAAACAGAGACGAGCTTAAACATCACTGTGAAAAACAAACAATGTGTAATCTCCAAAATGGTCGAACGAGCTTCAGAAAGACTACAAACGTTTGTCTAAAACGGGTAAAAGGAACGCCCTCATACCAAAATGCCGATTTCCCCCGTAAAATGTTTAAAGGAGACCTATCATGCAAAATGCACTTTTGTACGTCTTTTATACATGAATATGTGTCCCCGGTGTTCCAGGGAACTCACCAAGTGTCAGAAAACACAACCCTCTCTATTTCCCTCCGTACCCAAATCTCTAAAAACGGGGCTTTAACGGAGCTGATACAGATTTGAAAATAGTCTGACGTCAGAAACGGGGTGCTCCGCCTATATGGCAACTCTCCACCTATCAGGGGAATGAGAGGTTGCCGTGCCATGGTAACAGCATGGTAACAGCATGGTAACAGCATGGTAACAGCATGGTAACATGACGCTCGTAACTCGGCCCCCTCCTTTGCAGGGGGGCGTGGTCAGCTGCAGCGCATGCAAAGGCAGGGTGGAGGAGAGCAAAATTAGATCTGTTTGGTATTTTCAAAAAAGAAAAACGTATAAATATACCTTATATAGGTATAGCCCTACAAATATGGCATGATAGGTCCCCTTTAAGTGATGCCAGAAAATAATATTTCTGTTCGTCAAAAACTGTATGATTACTCCAGAAATATGAAAATCATGTCAAATAGAGCGTCCGACGGCAGAGACAGCTTTGTTTTTAGGGCGCTCCGAATAAATAGGGCAAATAGGAAAGTGACGTTAGCGCCCTCATACTATACTATCGAGAAAAAGCCCTGTCTTCTGTTTTGCTTTTACCTTGGACCATAAAGGGTAACTTATGCAGCAGCATCCTCAGGGTTTATTGCGCTTAATGTACGTCGCTTTGGACAAAAGATTCAGCTAAATGTGATGTGGTTTCTAAATAAGTTAATATGCTGTTAGTAGGTTGGTCCATTAGAAAGCACTAACTCTATTTTTCATATCGTGTATTTGGAAGTACGGCAGAGGATTAGGGCCACATGTGAGCGGAGGAGATGGTTCTATACAATAATAATCTTCAAGAAAATCGTCCCCACAGGAATGCTTGTAAAAAGGTTTAATTAAAAGTCTGATTTAAAAGGTCCCATGTCATGCTTTTCTGGTTATTACCCGTCCCCTTGTGTGTTATGTAGATTTTTCTGCATGTAAACGGTCTGCAGAGTCAGAAACCCTCAAAATACACCCTGTAGCGAGTAAAACTCTAACTCAGAGAAGACCTGTCTATGCTGCCTCAGAACGCCTCGTTGGAGATTTTTTATTTTCCATTATTTTCTTCCTGGGTATGGTGACGTGACCATACCCAAATGGACCAATCCGTGGAGCCGTTACGTTACGTCAAGTCCGCGGATCGATCCATTCCTCAAACACACAAACACACACACAATCTTTTCTCAACTGCAGCTCTGTGGATTTCTCAGCCTGAGATGGCGGGATGCGGCGTGGCTGTCCGCTCCTCGCAGCAGCGAGCCCCTCAACGTCCCGCCAACACGGCACCAGACCCCACGCAGCATTCTCACCTGTTTGTCATTACTGGTGTCATTTCCTGGTTGCTAACTAACGCCATTGTAACACATAATCACTGATTTTCCGCTGTAACGGTGGTGGACTCATCAGAACAGAGTGGGCGAGCTGACCAATCAGAGCACACTGGGCTCACAGGGAGGGGGGGGAGGAGCTCCAACAAGCCGTGTAGGACAGAGAGTAAATACACAGAGATGCTGTATGAGAAACCAATGTGAGTTTGGAACATTGAACAATGTGAATCTATTCTAGTAGACCTCAATGATGGAACTATGATCAGTGGAAAGGGCCATGACACGGGACCTTTAACTCTAAGCCCACCCACATGTTGAGATTTATTATATATGTAGTATTTATAAACAGGCTTTCCATTGATTTGCTGCATGATGTGAACAGGTCAAAAATAAACAAGATCTGAGCCAAAAACTGAAGTTTCAAACTTTTTCTGACAAGTTTATAAACAGAAAGTCTGTATCTAAAAAACTAAGTGTTTTCTTTTATATTTTAAAGTTTGAATTGTGAATAAAGAGGTATAAACATTCACAGATCCTTCTCTCTCTGCTAAACAGACTTTCAGAAATACAAGTATGCCGTTAAAACAACTCAAAATCATCTTAAAAATTCATCCAAATGACTTGTTTATAACAAAAGATTGGAAAACTAAAAGTAGATGTAAGTATATGTGTAAATATGTTGATCAGGATTAAAGCCTGCTTTAAAGAACATCTGTTGTCAATACGTGTATAAGTTAAAGTTTGGAGACTCTGCAGTTTTAATAATAATACACGAGAAAATACTTCATAGACATCTGCTCATGAATACAAACTGTTCCAGACAGCCGGCAAATTATTAATATGATTCCTCCAGCTCTTTCAGAAAGATGTGTTGCAGGTGGTGATTTCATGAAATTACAGTTTCCTCCTCCTCCGCGTAAATCACAGCTTTCTGCAGAACTTCAAATGAAGCCGGTTCAGCATCATCTTCATTCTCCTCTTCATCCTCATCTTCATTCTCCTCTTCATCATCACATCAGAGAGAAACACAAAATACCTTCTTGTGAAATGTCTTTAACAAATTGGTTCTTTAAGATGACATAAACCAACATTAGGGGGGTTTGTTGGGGACTATTTTCTTTGGCGGATTAATACACACATGGTGCTCTAGTGCCTGATCGTATTTCATATTTTATTCAACGCATAACAATCAAAGTACAAAACGACTGATAAACTTTACAATTAGGGATTCCTGTTTTCTTCTGTCAGTTGTTTTTATTTATTCCAGTTGTAGAAGCGTAAAGTCTACGACTGCATTCAAATGTCTTTCGAGACTTTTTTCTAGAAAGTAAAAAAAAAGACATGACTATAAGAAAAAAGCCAGGAATCTAAGAAAAAATTCATCTGACTTTTTTTATGAGTAAAAGTCAGAACTATGAGATTTTGAGAAAAAAGTCAGAATTTGGAGATCGTTGATAAAAAGTCAGAATTTGGAGATTTTTGACAAAAAGTCAGAATTTGGAGATCGTTGATAAAAAGTCAGAATTTGGAGATTTTTGACAAAAAGTCAGAATTTGGAGATTTTTGACAAAAAGTTAGAATTTTGAGATTTTTGACAAAAAGTCAGAATTTGGAGATTTTTGACAAAAGTTAGAATTTGGAGTTCGTTGATAAAAAGTCAGAATTTGGAGGTCGTTGATAAAAAGTCAGAATTTGGAGATTTCGCAAAAAGTCAGAATTTGGATAAAAAAGTCAGAATTGTGCGATTTGCAGTAAAAAGTCTA